TCAAACTAAGTTTTCTTCATCCGAATTTTATGAAACTCATACACAATGCTAAGAACCAAAACTTGCAGGCAGAGTTCGAATTTGGGCAGTGAGTCACTTACCGTTCTAGAGTTATGCCCCTTTATAACTTGGAAAATTGCATTTTTTTCGTTTCCGCACTCTTACTTAAGTTTGCCTCATCCAATATTTTATAAAACTCATACACAATGCTAAGAACCACAACACGCAGACAGAGTTTAAATTTGGCAGTATATACGGTTCTAGAGTTATGCCCCTTTATAACATGGAAAATTGCAATTTTTTCGTTTCCGCACTCTAACAAGTTTTCCTCATACGAATATTTTGAAACTCATAAACAAGGATAATAACCGAAACTTGCAGGCAGAGTTCGAATTTGGACAGTGAGTCATTAACCGTTCTAGAGTTATGCCTTTTTTTAACATGAAAAAAATGCAATGCTTGAGCGGGGCAATCGTGTCCTCAAACACGTTCTTTTTTTTCTTTCTTTTTTAACTTTCTAAAATTCACCCTCACAACCGATCAGACAATAATTTTAAGTTGACAAAAGGCATAAAAGTACATTACATGATGCTTAATAGCTAGTAGATACATATGTCTTAAAATACAACTGTCATGTAAGAATGATAATAATGCTATGTGGATAAATTTGTCGGTTTTCAAGAGTTAAATTGACAGCGCGTCATCCCTACAATGACTTCCATTTTCGCGATTGAAAAAAAATAGGTGTCGTTATGGGTAGATAATTTTGACGAAGTAGAATCCTGACTGGATGGAATCCTTGAAGAACAACATGAGTATGTTACCCGTGACCGTCTACACGAAAAACATGATTTTTCTCGTTATTTTTTGTACAGCTGATTAACAAAAAAAAACAACCGATAAGCCATCCTTTAATTATTTTTTTTCTCTTTTCTTTGACCTGAAAGAAGAAGAGTTTCAGATTAAAACTCTATCTTTGAATTCATTTTAGCTCATCTGACCCAAAGGCTTTAAGGGCCACTGTGGGCCTTTCTCGTCACTTGGCGTCCGTCGTCGTCCGTTCACTTTTACAAAAATCTTCTCTGAAACTTATGAGCCAAATATAACCAAACTTGGCCACATTCATTACTGGGGTATCTAGTTTAAGATGTGTCCGATAGAACACCGGGGTAAAATGCAAGTTTTGTCTATTTCCCATGAACACTGAGATGGAGAAAATTTGACAAGAGCAAAAAAGTCCAGAATGTTGAGATCTAACTACTGTCTATTTACATAAAAAAATGTCAGACGAGTTCTTGCCCTTAAATGAAGAATTTTATCATTTTTTTTTACGTTTGTCCTTTTATCTTGAAAATTATAATAGACAGATAGAAACTACTTTAAAGAAGAAAATTGACCAGCAAAATTTTCCAAACTATTAGATTAAAACTTTGATGGTTTGGATAAAAAATGTGACCCCTGTTTTGAGAAAACATGTCTTTCTCACTGGCAATTTCAGTGATACATTTTTCCAGTAACACAAGGAACCACGACTGTCGAGGAGTATGGGGAGCTACCAAAAGAGGCAAACATACCTCGTTCTTCACTTCCAATAAAACTTTTGGAGCCAGAATTACTGAAGGAAAGGCATATGCAAACATCCCTTCCAAGAAACGGCAAACACGTCTTTGTTTGGGATCCTTAGTATTGTGAATTATCTCTAGACTATCGAACGATGCCGACTCCATTCCGAGATCATCACAAGAGTTTGCCCCCGGTATAAGCGTTCTGCATGACAGTCAACTTTATCTGGGATATGGGCTGCATGAAGATCAGTATCCTATTCGAGACACAACTGAAACTTCTCAAAAAATAAAGAATAGGCTGGGCGATGCCCCTCTTTGTTTTTTTATGTAAACCACTGCTGTAGAATTGGGACTAGAAAATTCCGACGCTTAACCAACAAGAGCTTTCCAAACTGCTTTCAATCCCAGCCAATGTATGTGTTTCTTGTGATAATGAACTGGATACTGTTCTGAAATATGACCCGAACCTAAATTTCCCCCAATCCCAAGTGTGTCAACAACATCGGAGAATGTTGAGTTTAACTGAAAAGGGTATCCTGTGAGGTTGCCAAAGCAGAAGTCAGGTGATACAACTGTAAAGGGCCCATATACAACAGCGCATGAGGTAGTATGACTAAGTAAGACAACAGAAGTCCTAACAGTTGCAAATGAAGATTTGCTGGAGCCGCATGTTTTTCCCTATTTAGTCTAAATAATTTCATGAATATGATTGAAATGTTCTTCTGAGGGGAGAACTAACCCCTTTTGAAAATCGAACAGTGCCCCCAGATATGAAATCCATATTCAAATCTAACATCATTCACAGAACCATTTGTTGCTGAACTGCTGTGCTTGGCCGTTGACCGTTGAAAAAAATGCTTTTTTTTATTAATCATAAATCATTAATCATTTACACACACATACATAAAATTATATATGCATTTCATGGTTTCTCAACCCTGTATTGCTGTATTAACCTTCTTGAAAACTCTTGGAACAATGTCGTGCGAAAAGGTATAGCTCTGAACTGATGATGAATTTGGTTGACCCAAAACCATTAGGATTTTCTGTGGAATTGAGAGCATTTTTCAATTTAAGACTTGAGGTCAAATATCCTTTTTACATAGCCTGAATTATGGATCTTAATGTTTCCATTCTGAAGCGCGAGTTTTGTAGATGAGCATTGATTTGTTTCAGGTTTTGAATTTAAGACTAGAGGTCAAAAATTCCTTTTGCAGAGCATAAATTATGATCTGAATGTTTCCATCCTGAAGCAAATTTTTAAGATGACTTGTAACTTGGATGGAGAGTTGTCTCATTGGCACTCATACCACATCTTCCAATATCTACTCATCACAATATTTCTTAAGCTCATTTACTTTAAAAAGAATGATGGTAAGAACTTTAGAAAGATGCTTAACCGAACATCATGACAACCCGGCACAAGTGGTAATAAAATGCTTCGCTGAGCGCAGCCAGATACGACCGCAGAGGTATAACCCTGAACAGTTGGGGCAAGTTTGAACACAATATTCAAGCTTGATACTGTCTGAATTTGGATTGTGATCAAATTTTGACATAATATATGTTTTTGACACAAAATAAATGTGGTCAAAGATATTAAAAATTTGAAATGGGACATTTAATTTACCTAGAATGGTCTGATATCCAAAATCTAACAACATGGTTAGATTCAGCATATAAAAAAACACAAAAAAAATAATTTTAGTTGAAATCAAACGAAGTTTAATTTTAGACCCTTCAAACCTTAATATGGACTAATTTGAAAACAGGGCCCAAAATAAAAACTCTAAATGCACAATAAGATTCAGCATATTATACAGCCGCAATAATTCAGTTTTTGATGAAATCAAACAAAGTTTAATTTTGGACCCTTTTGACCTCAATGTAGACCAATTTAAAAATGGGGCCCAATATCCAAAAAAGTAATACAAGGTTAGAACCCCCAGAAATTAAAAACTTTAAATTAATCCCATTGAAATTGGTTAAAAGATTTGTATTTATTTTCAATTGAAGATTTCTTGCTATTGTGCAATACTGGCCAATTGAAGATTTCTTGCTATTGTGCAATACTGTGCAATTGAAGATTTCTTGCTATTGCGCAATACTGTGCAGTTGAAGATTTCTTGCTGTTGCACGATACTGTGCAATTGGGGATATCTTGCTATTGCGCAATTCTGTGCAATTGAAGATTTCTTGCAATTGCCCAATACTGTGCAATTGAAGATTTCTTGCTATTGCCCAATACAGTGCAATTGAAGATTTCTTGCTATTGCTCAATACTGTGCTATTGTGCAATACTGTGCTATTGCGCATTACTGTGAAATTGAAGATTTCTTACTACTGCGCAATACTGTGCTATTGTGCAATTGAAGATTTCTTGCCATTGGAATTTGCCCAATACTGTGTGTGGTATTGAACAATACTGTGCTATTGCGCAATACTGTGCAATCATTTGAAATTTCAAAAATTTTGAAGAAAAAAAATATGAACCCCCAAACTTTATAAACCCCCTCCCCCTTGGAGTAATTACCCCCAAAATTAATCCCAGCCTTCCCTTTGTGGTATGGAACCTTGTAGTACAATTTTAGAGAGATCCATAGACTTAAACACAAGTTACTGTCTGGAAACTAGAAAAATGCTTGTTTTTGGCCCCTTTTTTGCCCCTAATTCCTGAACCGTTGGGGCAATTACCCCTAAACTCAATCCCAGCCTTCCCTTTGTGATATGGAACCTTGTGGTACAATTTCTGAGAGATCTATACACTAACACACAAGTTATTGTCCGGGAACTACAAAAACGTTTGTTTTTGGCCCCTAATTCCTAAACTGTTGTTACCATAACCCCCAAAATCAATCCCAAACTTCCTTTTGTGGTATTGAACCTTCTGGTAAAATTTCTCAGAGATCCATTCCCTTAAACTAAAGTTATTGTCTGGAAACCAAATGTGTCTTCGGACGACTACGACATAGCATTATACGATGCAAAAAATTGTTTGCCGTCGTATAAAAAACTATATACCGGTAATCTAAACCTTCACATCATAATGCACATGTATTAAATTTCTAGTAAATGACTGCAGCTTCATGGTATACTACCATAACCAAAAGCTTTAACATGTGAATATTCTGATTTCACCATCAAATCCATAATTTAGCACACGATTTAAAAAGTTCATATCATGAATGAAGATGTGTACTAGATTTTAAATTATGAGGCCACAACTGCATGATTAACTATCTGGACCAAAAAACTTAATACCAGATACGGGACAGATGAACAGATCAGAAAACATAATGCCTCCAAACTATTGCAGTAGGGGCATTAAAAGACCATGAAGCAGGTTTGTGATTTTTTTTCTTCATATGGTCACGTGAAGATTTAAACTATTATTGGGCAAGCCTTTACTATATATAATAAAAAACAACGACAAAATAAGTTTTGTTATATATTATTAGACCACATCATCAAGCACAAAGCCATCATACATGACCATTATTTTTATGGTATAACAATTGTTAGATTTTCACAAGGACAAAGTCCAAAAAAATTCCTAAAAAAGATTTACATGTTTAAATATCTCTTTAAAAAAAAAAATTACTTCAGAAATTTTTGAAAAAATCAAATTTGAAGAAAAAAATGCTGTTAAAAGAGTTTCTAGTCAAATTTGTAGACATGAACATGTTTTGGGGCAATACTGACTGCCCTCTTGCTGAGGTCCATAGTTCCTTCTATAAGCGTGCCATCTGAATGGAAGACATGCATCAGTGTTTTAGGAATTTTAGCCTCTTTGAAGTTACTAGCAAAGTGTGAATCTCCAAGGTTTATGATTACTAGGTACCCAGAGAATCCTTCAGCTTTTCTAGTCATCCATAAAATGTCATTGTTGTCCTTCAAGATAGATACAACAGTCTTGCCAAACTGTATAGATTCATTACTGGCCAGTACAACTAATTGTTTGAAAGTGTTCATTATACTATATTCACTGTGGTATGCTTTGGCATGCTGAAAAATGAAAATCAAATATGCATTAACTTTAGGAGAAAATTTCATGATATGTCTACTAAATACATTTACACCAGGTACAAGGCATCAATTCAATATAAAATTTAATATGGATACTAATATGTTTCTCAAATAATATACATGTACTAGAGCACTAAATATCATTGTACAAAGACTACTTAATTTAAAGCTTTACTTAAAAAAAAAAATAAGGAGATGTTGTATGATTGCCAATAACACAAGTACATAAAAGGACAAAGATGTGAACAAATTCAGGTCACTATACAGCCTTTGGACAAACTAGCTATCACAAAATAATTTTCTTTTTTGTTTTCATTGTGTTAATATCAAGTAATACATCTCTTAGTTAAAAACACAAGTACAATAAATATATACGACCATGTTGTCACCTGTAGTAACTGAACATGACTTCATCAGAAAACACATACCCGCATAAAAATAAGAAAAATGTGTTATGATTGCCAGACTTACCTGTACATTGTTGGTTTTGTAGTTTGCTCCCAAAGGAATCCATGGCATGAATGTTGGATCAGTGAAACCAGCATTTGGTTGTTCACTACTCCACTGCATTGGCGTACGGAATTGATCTCTGTTTGTCTATAATAATACAAAAATTCTCAATCAATACAGAATTATTGGAATAAATAATCATAACAAAGGAAATTATAAAACTGCAAAATTTAAAGACATAATTCCATATGCCTTTCAAGACCATTACATTTAGAATAAACTTGCCCTATCAAAATATCAACAGTCCAAAACATTTTCAAGTTTGAGTTTTGAAAATAACAACAGTAACAATTGTAAAAATAAAACTGCACTTGTGTTTAGAGATAAGATAGCATTGTATTAAAATTTGTCTCATTTGATCAAATGTTTATTAACAATTCACCTACAATTTTTCATACACTATAATGGAGAATTCCCCCTACCTGTCCAGGTAATTTAGAAACTGGATCCTTGCTTGCTGCTGCTGGAACTCCATTCTTCATAGCAATTTCATCACCATAGTAAGATGATGAGACACCAGGAAGTAAAATCTGTACTGCTAACATAGCTTTCATATACTCATCACCAATCAGACTGGCAATTCTACCATGGTTTTCATTGTCCAACTAGAATAGAAATGTCAAAGAAGATATTTAATTTTTTTATCTTGATATTTTCATTTCTGTAATGTGCAAGCTTTTCTCTTGGGTAATGTATTCTTCATTACAATACATGTACATGTAGCTTTTATCATTCTTGATTTTTTTATTCACCATTAATATCTGATTATTGATCAAAAGATCTTCAATATCAATTCACTCACTCAAAATAAAAATAATGTTTCTCCTTAAATTTCCATTTTGTTTTAGCACTTTTTATATGTTCTGTGGATGATAACTTACACAACGTTAGCTTGATTTCGCAACTTTTCTTGTCCAATTGACCTATAAAGCTGTAATCTGTAGTGAGAGTTGATCCAATCAAAACTTATGACCAGGCAGTTAAAGTTTCAACTATGACATTTATAACTAGTTCTTTTGTTTTTGATAGCTTCCCTATACCCATATTGACATAAAATAAAACTAACCATCCAGATCTTCCTGTGAGCGTCGTCAACAGCAACTTCTTGTATCCTGTCTTTGAGATGAGTTGCAAGTCCATTCTTATTGTAATTTGTGATTGGCGACATTCTGACATAGGTAGCACCATTCTTGCCATTTGTTTCATAGTATTTCATAGTTGTGTTCATATCTGCATTAACAGTTACAATCAATGCCCTGTAATTTTAATTTATAAATTACTCAAAATTGTTAAATAAACCTTCTTTAATTGGGATCAACAAAGGTGCCTATCCATTTTGTACACCATCAGTAGGTGAAATTCTGTCATTTTTGGTCCTTTCTACTGGAGATTCAGACAGCTATTTCAATGGTGTTTTCTATTTCGATTGATTGTTGCTTGATTAACATCAACAGACTATTATTCATGCATAATCATTATGAATTATTCTTTTAAAAGGTACAGATACCCAACAAGTAACAAAGTAAAAGTTACATTAAACATTATGCACATTTATTTATTTTTACTAAAAAAAGACATACAAAAAGAAATACTGAATTTATGACAAACAAAACAGTATGATAGAAATAGGATATAAACATCAAATCCATATTGAAGTAAGAAAACATGGTAGTGCTGCACTTTGCTTCTCCATATCAATCCCAAATTCGCACCATTGCATTTCAGTTTAAAGATTTCAATTAATCTTTGCTTCTTTCTCCTGCTTTATAGCAACAATTTCTGTTTTTAAACATTTAATTTTATGACTCTCTCATGCAATTTTTGAAAGAAGTACTTTTTACAACTAAATAAATAACAAGTATGCTTTTGCAGTAACATTCATGCATCACAACTTTACAAGCAGTATACTACCTTCCTCCTTTGCAAGTGACTTTCCAATTTTTACTATTTTCTCTAATCAGATGTGATCATTCAAACAATTTGTGATATACCCCTGTTATTTCAAACTCTACTATATTAGAATTGGTATTTGTATCTGGCTTGGGACAGCCATATAATAAAAGAACATAACTGGGTAAAAAAAATAATTAAAAAATATTACTTCTTCAAATCTTTTTGAACCCCCCCTCCCCCTGTTGACAGAATAACCATAGACTTACATGAAGGGGTTTGAAATGAAGTCCTGCCAAGAAAATTAACAGGTTGATTACATTACATATTAGAATTTTCTTCAATTTAAAAAAAAACTAAGTGTAAAATTAGCCTACTTTTCCCTTCCTGGTTTATTAGCAGCAGCTTCCAATACAGCTCTCCATTCCTGTAGTAAGTCAAATGATTCAGGCTGGTGTGTTGTATGGTCATGTATCAGACTTTCATAACTCTGTTAAAATAAACATATACTTTATAGCCATACTGCGAAATTATTTTGTTTATTCGAGTAGGGAGAAACCACTACATATATGTATCCAAATGAAAATATGATTGTCTTGAAATCTTTAAAAACATTAAAAAACTTTGCTTCCAAATCCCATACTATTAACAATTACATTATTGTATTGATCTACAATCAATATAATTACTGTGGATCTGATCCTCTACTAACAAATGGTTAATCAGCAATTGTTATGTTCTACAACAGATTTTATTCTTATAAACTCATTGGTAATACCTACAATTTTTAACCAATCCACTAACAGGTTCATCATGAAGTGTTCTATTCTCCAACACTGACCGCCAGATACTGCAGACACTCTGGTAATACCTACCATATTACCAAGTGTAAAGTTTTTCCAGCAAATACTAATCTTACAGACCTGTCAATACCTACCCACTGGCTAGTTCATTACCAAGTGTCAAGTTTTCCATCAGATACTAATCTTACAGACCTGTCAATACCTAACCACTGGCTAGTTCATTACCAAGTGACAAGTTTTCCACCAAATACTAATCTTACAATCTGTTAATACCTATGTGTACCATCACAGATCCACTTCAATAGGTTAGTTCATTACCAAGTGTCAATTTTTCCATCAGATAATCTTACACTCTGATAATACATTGTACCTACCATAACAGATCCACTTCTACTGGCTGATTCATCACCAAGTGTAATGTTCTCTACAAGATATTCTGCATTTCTTACATGGAAACCATCAATTCCTTCTTTCAACCAGAAATTCAACACATCCTGAATAAATTAATTCAGTAATTATGTGGACTGAAATATTCTACTGCAAGATTTTAAATAGATACATCATACTTGATAAAAACTATAATGTTTTCCCCAATGGGAACCCAATGAAAGTTTTCCACAGTGCCATCTCTATCTGGTCAAGGTATTTCAACTTTTGTAAGTTCACTTGCCCCATCAAATGAATACAATAGCTATTGTTCTCTGTGTAGTTTATTCACTGGGACCTTTAAATTTCTTCTAAGAGAAATCTATCAGCATTGATTAATTTACCTGAGTCATGAAAAAAAAATTCTTATATATTTTTTATACTCATTAACTGCCTGTGATGATGTATTTATTCAAAATTGATAACTTATTATCATTTTTTTTCAATATAAACACTGATTTAATCATAGAATTTGATTTCTAAAAAAAGTTTAAGTAATGTTCCCATTGAAATTTGCATTTTTTTATTTTTTTTTAATTATAGAATACATTTAAGTAGGTCTTAATTTGAACATCATAATTTTAAAGTTTTTATTTAATGTCAAACACACAAAAAAACAAATTCTAAAGTTTTGTCAGAAATCAACTTTTATTAATGTTTGAATCACTGTTTACATTCAACAAATTGAAATATCTTATTAATATTGAATAAATACAACATCACATGCAGTTTTGAGTATAAAACATGTATTTTCGTCTATTTAGAAGATTTTTTTTACTCAGGTAAATTAATCAATGAGTGATAGATTTCTCTTACAAGAAATTTAAAGGTCCAAGAGAATAAACTACAGAGAGAACAATAGCTATTGTATTTATTCAATAGGACAGGTGAACTTATAAAAGTTTAAATACCTTGACCATATAGCAATGGCACTGTGGAAAACTTTCATTGGGTTTGCAATAATTTGTAAAATTTCTGTGGAAGAATATATGTGTTACACTATTGCACACACAGGAGACTTAGTTTTAGTATATAAGCATGCATTGATTCAATAATTTGCTTTACATTATAATCACTAGAAACTCCTTTCATATGACATTATCAAAGATCACATGCTTCACTCAAAACTTTTTTTAAAATATGTTTTTGGGTGAGGGTTGTGCTATGAATACCGGTAATATGTTTGCATGTGTGTGTCAAGTGGTTAAGATTTTGTGAAATTAAGCCATTTGAAAAAGATTATTGTCATTTCATGCATGTCAAAGCTGTATATACACAGGAAATCATTTAACCTTAATGATAATACTTTCACTTAATTTAATTATACCAAACATAACAAGATTCAGTGTAATATTACAAATTGAAATTTTTAAAATACCTTTGACTTTAGAGCCAATTTAGTCCAAATTATTCCTTCTGCTTAATTCCAATTTAAAGAAATATGAAATACTAAAAGAAATCCAAAGTGATTCAGCCCACACTGCTTTTGCTGGACTCTTACAGTGGGGGTTAAATTGCATCCTCCAGTACATGCATGCATATGCAAGAATAAGTAGCATATATACATGATCGGGGGAGGATTGGGTGCCGGAAATCATGTTGAAACCCAGTTTGAAATTCAGTGGTTGTCATTTGTTGTTGTATATCACAATTGCTTTTTGTTTTGTATATAGATCAGATCATTAGTTTTCTCATTGGTTTTGTTTTACATTTGTCATGTTGCGTACTTTTAGAGTTTGCTATGTAGCATATATATGGATATTGCTCTTTGTTGAAGGCTGTATGGTGACCTATAGTTGCTGACTTCTACATTATTTGCTCTCTGGTAAAGAGTTGTCTCATTTACAATCATACCACATCTTCTTATTCTTATATGTAAACAATGGCAAATCCAAGAGTGGTGTGGGATTTGAAGTTAAAGGTATTCTTTCTTAAAATGTTCTTGCATCTTTTGTATGAAAAATATGTGTAAAATAGTTTGATATTACAATGGTAGCATTTTCCCAAGAATTTCCATTTCAGAAAAACATACCTTCATTTCTTTTCTAACATCTTCGTTCATTAAGTTGAGATCGGGTTGTTCTTTGAGGAATGTATGGAGATAACACTCACCACGAAGGTCATCATACTCCCATGCACTTCCCCCATAAACACTCAACTGAAAAAAGTACCCTAATGAATTAATCAATGAAGTTGGGTTTTCTTCTAAATAAAATTCAAAAGCTCTATGACTCAGAATCAAATGAAAATGTCCAATAATAAACAGAATATCACTACTTCAGTGACGATAATCATTTTAAAACACTAACAAATTTCAATAAAAAATAAAATGCTCCGCAGGGCGCAGCTTGATACGACCGCAGAGGTCGAACCCTGAACAGTTGGGGCAAGTATGGACACAACATTCAAGCTTGATACAGCTCTGAATTTGGATTGTGATTAAATATTTGACACAGCATAGGTTTCTGACACAGAATGAATGTGGTCTAAGAACTTAAAAATTTTAAATTGGACATTCACCTATTATGGTCCAATATCCAAAATCTAAATACATGGTTAGATTCAGCATATCAAAGAACCCCAAGAATTCAATTTTTGATGAAATCAAACAAAGTTTAATTTTGGACCCTTTTGATCTCAATGTGGACAAAAATGATAACAGGGCCCAAAAATCAAAAATCTAAATACATGGTTAGATTCAGCATATCAAAGAACCCCATATATTCAATTTTTGTTGAAATCAAACAAAGTTGAATTTTGGACCCCGATTTGGACCAACTCGAAAACTGGGCCCATAATCAAAAATCTAAATACATGGTTAGATTCAGCATATCAAAAAACCCCATATATTCAATTTTTGTTGAAATCAAACTAAGTTTAATTTTGGACCCTTTGGACCTTTATGTAGACCAATTTGAAAACAGAACCAAAAATTAAGAATCTAAATACACGGTTAGATTCGGCATATCAAAGAACCCCAATAATTCAATTTTTGATGAAATCAAACAAAGTAAAATTTTGGACCCTTTGGACCTCAATGTGGACCAATTTAAAAACGGGGCCCAAAATCTAAAAACTTAATACACGGTTAGATTCAGCATATTAAAGAACCCCAAGAATTCAAGAATAAAACCCCATTGAAATTGATCAAGAAATAAGCAATTTATACGAAGTATCTTCTTTTGCACAATACTGAGCAATTGATTATTTCTTGCTATTGCGCAATACTGTACAATTGACAATTTCTTGCTATTGCGCAATATTGTGCTATTGGATATTTCTTGCTATTGCGCAATACTGTGCAATTGAAGATTTCTTGCTATTGCGCAATACTGTGCAATTGAAGATTTCTTGCTATTGTGCAATACTGTGCAATTGAAAATTTCTTGCTATTGCACAATACTTATTATATAATAATTTACACATCCTGTTTGGTGTGTATCTCCTACCATATCATTATTATTTGCTTTTAAATATAAATCAGAAATAACCAACTTAAAATGGAAAATTTTAAAAGAAAAAAAAAAAGGAAAAAAAGAAAAAAAAAAGAAAAAAAAAAAAATCCCCCCCCCCCAAAATTTTTTGAACCCCCTTATGATTCATCACCCCCAAACTCAATCTCAGCCTTCCCTTTGTGGTATGGTACCTTGCAGTACAATTTCAGAGAGATCCATACACTTGAACACAAGTTATTGTCTGGAAACTAGAAAAATGCTTATTTTTGGCCCCTTTTTGGCCCCCAATTCCTAAACGTTTCGGGCAATTACCCCCAAACTCAATTCCAGCTTTCCCTTTGTGATATGGAACCTTGTAGTACAATTTCAGAAATATCCAAACACTTACACACAAGTTATTGTCATGAAACTAGAAAAATGCTTGTTTTTTGCCCCTTTTTTGGCCCCTAATTCCTAACATTTTGAGGCAATTACCCCCAAAATCAATTACAGCCTTCCCTTTGTGATATGGAACCTTGTGGTACAATGTCAGAGAGATCCATACACTTACACACAAGTTATTGTCTGGAAGTTACAAAAATGCTTATTGTTGGCCCCTTTTTGGCCCCTAATTCCTTAACTGTTGGTACCATAACCCCCAAAATCAATCCCAACCTTCCTTTCATGGTATTGAACCTTATGGTAAAATTTCATGGAGATCCATTCACTTAAACTAATGTTAGAGTGCGAAAACCAATGTGTCTTCGGACGACGCCGGACGACGACGACGACAACGTCATACCAATATACGACCAAAAAATTTTCAATTTTTGCGGTCGTATAAAAACCTGTCCATACCCAATTGTTTGGCTTTTGTCCACCCTTTGTACATGGTCTCCAAACATAATAGTCTGTATAGGGATCTTGTTTGTTCTGACTAGACACAAACCAGGTGTGATTTCTACTGGTGTGATTTGGAATGAAATCAATAACAAGTCTCACTACAATGATACAGACAATTAATTACTTTTACTACATGTGGTGTAGATTTAAACTTCATATGCACATTAATAATTTATGTATAAGAAAAAGCAATACACACATATAGAAAACATTAGAATGCACCAATGGTAATTGTCTGGACTCTTCTTTCTTCACACAAATTAGTACATGTGCTTAAAAGAACTTTTTGGTACAGGTAGAAACCTAGAAACATGCTTATTGTTAGGTTTATCTGTTACCAAATACAGATCCTGTGTCGTACGTCTTAGTGCACACAGATTTGACAATAATTTGTTCTATTTTCTGTTTGAAGACATTTTGGGATCCCCAGGTATTGACGTATAATAATAATAATAATAATAAATTCTTTATATAAAGAGGGTAACCTCAGTTAGTTACAATAAACTAATCTTCCCTGAGGCCCTCAATAAATGATGCAAGCCTTCAATTTTTTTTTCTGAAGGCTGAAATTTCATTGGCAGATGTAATAATTACAGAAACAGAAAGAAGAACACAAGTGTTGTCAGATCCTTGTAATAAGCAACTGTAGAATCACAACTAAAGTGCACCAATTAAACAAATTTAACTGAGCTTTGTCTTCAAAGATAATAATATATGTTAACTGACCCACAAGTTTAAATAAATTTATACTGTAAACTGAATAGTCTTCATCAATCAGTTATTGGGGGAAATTACAACCACTTTCATGTGATGCAAGTGACATCATGATATTCAGTACATAATAATCTCAGTAGGATAAATAAATATGTTATTTATTATTACATCATCCTATATAACTTGACTACACTTGTGATATATACCAGATGTGAGAACACAAACTAGGACATTAAACCCCCCACCGACAGACAAATTGATAATCATTCATTTGATCACATGTACATACTTTTGTCTTTAGTCTCTTTTCTCAGTTTTCTGATGTCTGCTAGGGTTCCAAGACTTGGTTCAACATCTTTGTAATCCACAACATCCATACCATTGTCAACACCTCCACTCTTATAAAAAGAGTTGATGTACAATGTTTCCACTCCAAGATCTTTGAAATGTCCATCTCCCAGTTCTGAGATTATTCCTGTTTTAAATACATAAATGAATTGAACAACATAAAAATAATATTTAAAATGCATTATTACATGCATATAAAACAGTGGTGGATACAATATAAACATAAGCAACATAAAAAGAGTACAATAAGAGTCTAAAAATGTAAACATAAATCATTAAAAAAATTTAAAAAGTTGTTATTGTTAAGCATAATTTGGGGAGGTTGATTAGAATATTAATAAAAAAAAATAAACAGAAAATTCATTTAAATGATATTTGAATTTTACCTTGTAAATCTCCTACTCCTTCTCCCGGTTCAGCTTTTCCTGGCTTATTGGTGTCTTTGAATGATTTTGGGTAAACTTGGTAAGAAGCTTGTTTGTCATACCACTTGAGATCTGGTCTGTATGGACAACGTGGAGCTAGAACAATGATGACAATAGCAGCTGCCAGCATAGCAATCCATCCAACCCAGAAAAGGATGAACAAGATCACCCGTACTTTCTTCCAAAATGGGTCGTTGGCGTACTGAAGAAGCTCTTCTTTTCCCAATCCAGTGAACGATGCCCCACCAGAGCTCGAGGTCTCAACTTCCACCTTTACGTCTCCTCCATTTGTTAAAAATTTAGCTTTAGAATCGTTGAATTTTGGATCATCTGATTCATCTACTTCAGCTTTTAAATGGGCCTTTTCATCAACTGTACTTTCATCCGCCATAATTTGTGCTTTGTTAGTTAGTTTGCAGTGATTACCACGTCTGTTTCTTCGCAACACTCCTTGTTAGTTCTCCTTTTACGACCTTCAAGGATGATGCAATATAAGATTAAACTGGTTTATTCCGGTTGCGGCGGCGCACAGTCAATTTTAAAAGGGGTGATTATAATAAAAAAAGAATGTTTGTTTTATCTAACAAAATAGTTTATACAAATTATAGTCATGCAGAATTTTATACTTTTGTTATTATTCCAAACACGATAACAACAGAAACAATTATTATTGCTTGAAACTACCCCAATAAATAAAGGAAGAAACCAGATCACCCCAGAGAACAAATACCATAGCACCTGTTACAAACTAGGACAAAGTCGAAATACCGGGAAGTATGAAAAGGTTTAAAAACATTCTTAATAGATAACATAAACACTGAATCGACCTGAACAAACACCTATAAAGTTACCAATATCCTGTTTTATTGTTTGTTAGCATTCAACTGTAAAAGAAAACCAAGACAACTGTCGAGAGTATTTTTTATGTTTATTTTTTTTCTCGAGATTTTTTAAATAGTTTTATAGATACGGGTGAACTTAATCAGCGATTACTTAAGATCACAACACTATTACAGATCAGGAATATATACAAATAAATAAAAAAAAATATTTTATTGGCACAAACTCAATTACAATAATTGGCAACGGCCCATACAACTAGTATACAAGTGGTTATGATGCAACAATTAAACAATACTACTTAACATATTAATAGGCACATTTCGAACAATGAAATTTGCAGTTATATATATATTAATATACATAGGTTAATGTAGAATAGGCTACTGACATACATACATTGTATGTTATAGCTTCATAATGTTCATATTACTCATTTGTCAGGACATTTTTCCTTAATTCAAATGATTGATTAATAAAAGATGATATTAATCTAAGTGTTTTTCTACACTTGCTATTAAGTAGTAGTTTGATATATTCATTCTCAGTTTTGGATTGTTTGTCATAATTTTTAAAATTGGACAATTTTGATATAAGTACATCTCTTTGTGATTCATATTTTGTACAGTGCAAGATAAAATGTTTTTCGTCTTCTATATTATTATTATGACATAATTTGCACAACCTTTCTTCTCTGTTAACTCGCAGGTACCTGACTCTTTCAATTTCCAGATTGTGTGCACTTAGCCGGGTCCCGGTAAAGTGAGAAACGGAACAGAAACGAAACAGAGCGAAACGAAACGAAACATGGCGAAACGAAACAAAACACAGCGAAACGAAACGAAACACGACAAAACGAAACGAAACATGTAAATTGAGAAACGAAACACAACGAAACGAAACAAAATCTGTATTTTGAGGAACCACCTATAGAAAATCTTCCTGACATAGCCGAAGATCAGTGTGGGTTTAGAGGGCACTTTTGATTGATATCATCTAATCGTTTGCTTAAAAATCGTCAAAAAAACAACATTGGTGGTATGTTTATCTTTTTGGACAATTATGCCTCCCCCTTTCCTTAAACTCTGGATCTGTCTCTGCTTTTTTTTTTTATATGTATACAAAAGATTTCGTTTAATCCAAAGAGAACGTGTGATTAACGGTTTATTCGAACACACATTACACACTTGGATTAACTTCACTGATTGCCGCACTAGAAAGAACGCATTACATACCAGTTCTATTGCGCTTTGTATTTTTCTATGCTTTATAGTCCCACACATTGTTATCATTAATAATGTTATGATATATTAGTGTGTATAACTTTTCATTCGATCACGTCTGTTAATATCATTGTATATGCAATAATCTGCAAGGTTTTTATCATTTATTGTTTATGAGTTTGTGCCAAGAAAGGTATTTTATTCATGAATGAAACACTTACATGTACGTATCCCAAGTGAAATAACCATAGCCAAAATATGTAAATGTTATGGACACCTTGCCATACATAACTTTAGGTAGTAGGATCCAAATGTTCAAGTTGGATGCATTCACCCTATATGTGGCTACAACATTGTCAAGTCCGACCTGGGACGTCAAAAAGGGGGGGGGGGTTGACCACGTTGCGACCTGACGTCTCTTTTGAAAGTACATGTGACCTTTAAAATGTTTAAACCGAGAATCAAATCAGTTTAGAACTGAATAGTCTGCTTAAAAGTGACCTGGTGACCCGAGGCAATTTTTAATCGTGACCTTGTGATCTAAAGTGGTACTGGAGCACAGTCACTTTTCTCCTTTTATTCATACAATATTGTATGTTCGACTCGTCATGTTCTACTTTCTTTTTTAAACTTACGGTACCGAATATTGTGTTTTGTTATTCGCCATTTATCTTGATAGACGCGTGTTACTAGGTATAGTATCTACCACATTTTCAAAAGATAAGCTACGAAGTACATACGGCATCTCCATACAGTTGAAGTCGATGGTACCTGTTGTAAGTAGTTTAAAAGGTTAATATGAATTGAACTTGTATTAAACGAGATTATGTCTTGCCTGATTTGCAACAAAATGAAAGAAGAAGAATGTCATCATGGTCATGGACTGCCATAATAAAAAATCTTTGAAACTTAAAAACAAAGAAGAAACGAATAGAAACTAAAATATGTTATAGTGACGAGTTAGAAATGAACATATTGTGTAGACACCTATCTATTGTTGAAATTATACTATATGTTGCCTTCTAGATGTCCTTAGTTTGTTCTTGTCGTTTGGTTGCTGTCTTATTGACATGTAACCTACATTTCATACATTTTTAGTTCCGTTGAGTGTACTTTTGAATCGGTGCATGAAAAATCATAACAAAACTGGTTATTGTGTATAGATTAATTGTCTTTCTTTCCCTCAATAATTCTAGAAAGATGAACCAAATAGAGATGTACACAGACACTTGTTTCTATCAATATATAATACATATGAATAGTCGACCTTCCTGTACCTAAATTAAAAATATTAATATGAAAACAGAAAATAATGTTACACTTTTCAATCTTTAACTTCCCCTCCCTCCATTTTTTTTTACTGTATCAATTTTAAAGACATGTCGCTTCTAAACCAAATCTGATTGATCTGTAGCTTATCCCCCAAACCTGCTTTGATACAAACTTGAATATGTTCCTCATTAAATTCGATCCCAAAACTTAAAAGGCATACATATCTAAATAGTCGTAATTAATTCCATTGAGCACGAAACTATAATCCAAATCAGATTTTATTTATTTGGATATTCTAAAATACATTTCTTTTTCGGCAGAAATTACAAAAAAAAATATTATTATCTGGTTTGACTGGGAAACACTGGTTTCAGATGTACATTGTACACAAAATATTATAAAATATTTTATGTCCCACCCTTTGAGTGGAAAACATATCATGTTTTAGCATAAAATCGTCTATTTTGGAGTGAAAAAAATTAGATGATTTAAATAAATTAGATGTTTTTGATGGTCTTTTGGATTCTGTTGACAGTTTTGACTTTTCTACTCTAATTAAATGGTCGTTTGGTAGATCTGAATGCGAATTTTCTACTCTTTACACTACACCTCCACACAATCTTATCAAACAAAAGTTTTCTTATTTAATTAAATGGTCGTTTGGTAAATCTGAATGCAAATATATTTGCTGCAATTCATTTAAAGCCTTCTTCTCTAATGTGAAAGGTAAATATGCTAGATATACTTACTGGAGGTGGGATGAGATGATTGAAGCTGTTAATTTCCCCTTGATAATATTTATGTACGTTTTGGCAACAAAGTTTATCGACAGGTTGTAGGTATTCCAATGGACACTAATTGCGCCCCTTTAATAGCAGACTTGTTTTTGTACTGTTATGAATCATAGTTTATGACAACACTAAGTAAAGACCCGTCAAAATTGCATTTAACTGATAAATTCAACAACACTTACCTTTATCTTGATGATTTTTTTTCGTTAAAAAATCAAGAATTTTCTAAATATACTGCCGACATTTACGACAAAAGGGACGATTTTTTTGTTCCCGATTGTTATTTTTCCCTTTTTGGATGGTGATGTTCCATTGGCACCATCTTATGGTGTTTGAATTTCACAACTCGTTCGCTATGCCCGTGTCTGTTGTAACGTTTTTGATTTTAACGAACGTAATCTATGTATTACTGGTAAATTATTAAGCCAGGGATTTCGTTACCACAAATTACTTAAAACCTTTACTAAATTCTTCCATAGATATAAAGATTTGGTTTTGAAGTTCAAATGGGATAGCACATCCTAATTTTTATGGAAATGTTGTTTACCGTGCCCGGAAATTTAGAAACGATCCTGGTAAACTTGTCGATCCGTGAAATAAACTTATTCTAAAAGGTTACCAATTCAACACTGTAATTAGATCATTGAAAATTGTTTTATTTGTATCAATATTGATTTTGTTGTCGGTAAATTAAAAGCAAACTAAATACTATTGTTATATAATTCATATGCACATTCATGGATCTACAATCTGTCGATACCTGTATCTTGGCAATACACAAGGTCGTGTTTTTCCTCTGACTGTTTATGACGTCTGTACACTAAATCCATTGGATGTTGGATGTGTACAGATTGATAATTTAGTCTTAGATGCATGATTTTTTTATTACTTGTTAGTGGCTTTGAACTAGCTGCCAGTAACTTCGAGTACTCTCAGATCAGTACTTAGTGTCTTTTTGTTGTTGGGATATACAAGTACCCGGCCACGTCCACTCTGTGTTTTTGTTAGATGTATGTTATTTGTATCCATCTGATGAGTTAAGCCTTTTTCAACTGATTTTTATAGTTCGTTCTTATGTTGTACTGTTACACCACTATCCCAGGTTAGGGGGAGGTTGGGATCCCGCTAACATGTTTAACCCCGCCACATTCTGTATGAATGTGCCTGTCCCAATTCAGGAGCCTGCAATTCAGTGGTTGTCAATTGTTGAAGTGTTACATATTTGTTTTTCGTTCATATTTTGTATATAAATTAGGCCGTTAGTTTTCTCGTTTGAATTGTTTTACATTTGTACGTCATTTCGGGGCCTTTTATAGCTGACTATGCGATATGGGCTTTGCTTATTGTTGAATGCCGTACGGTGACCTATAGTTGT